TCTTACAGACATTTTAAACCTGTAAAAAAATTTTGTGAATGACAACAGTTAATATAGTTAAGTAACACTGATGTGGTGAGAGACCCCCTCTAAGAGTCCTTTAACTAACCCTGTGTAGGTATTAACTCTCATAACCATAGGAATTAGGTTACTTGTCCAGGCCTCTTCCCAGAAACAAGCTTCCAAACTAGTTTCACAGCAGCCACCTCTATCTTATTAGTAGCTCCATTTCAATTTCTCAACAGTTACAGAAAATGACCAACTACCAGTTATTAAAAGGCTCATCATTCCAGCTTACAGCAAGGCCCCACTTTCATGTTGTGACTCAGCCATCTATACTTCAAAGGCTCAAGACAAAGAATAAATACTGCATGTTAATAATCCTGCCTAAAAAATATGGCTTAAAAACAAAAGGATCCTGGACCTGGTGGTGCTGACCTTTAATCCCAACACTCAGGAGGCAGCTAGGCAGGAAGCCAACCTGGTCTACACAGCAAGTCACAATCCAATCCAACTGGGGCTACAGGGAGACCCTATCTCAAAAAACGGGCAGGAGGGAATAAACCCAAAATCTTTTTCAGTAGTCCTCAATCCCCAATAAAAATCAGTGCAATGATCTTTTCCCTTCGTTAGAGAAGGCTGAAACATTGTAAGGCAACTGTTCTCTGCCCACTCTGAAGTCTTTCATATTTTTTCCCCAAAGCTTTAGGAATCAAAGCAGACCCTGAGGTACTGAGAAAGCAAGGCATGACTGATACCCAAAAGATACTAAGAAACTGAGAAAAGGCTATGCTACTAGCCACTCATACCGTGAAAGGTTTCCAGATGCTAATCCAATGTTCTAGGAATGGCTAACAGTGACCATTAGACACCACACCCTCACATCTTTCAATCATCCTGCCTGCCCCTTCATGTAAGTGATTCCTGATTATTCCCCAGAAATAAATATGTTGCGCTTCCTCAAAACCTTTGTTGACCTGTGGAATGCTCACACTACTCCAAGTCTAATAATCATAAGACCATGGTAGTAACCTATATTACAGACCTTTCTCTTCTTACCTCCCACAAACCAGAAATCCATTAATAAAAACAAGCCCTGGAACACCAAATCAAACAAACAGATCAAAACTATCTTTTCTATTTCAAAGTTTTCATGTTTTTAACCACCAGTCAACATTACATACTGTCTTAAAGTTACCTACTCTAAATCATCAAATATAGTTACTTCAAATTTAGTCACACAGATCAATGACAATACAGGAAATTCCTGTACACTGCCATTAACTGGCAAGATCAATAATCACACAAAATTCTCATCATCATTTCATATTTTAACCATCACCTTCTCCCTACAGCTTAGAAAGAAGTCAATTCTACTTTCAAATAGAAAGTTTTCTCCACCAACTTACATCAGCATCTGGGTTTTCCGCTGGTCTCTGGTTTGGACACTCCATGCCTGCCTCAAGAGAAGACACATCATCCTCCTCGGTTGGGACCTTCTCTACCATAGATGCAGTAGAGACGGTGAAAATGCCATGGGTGTTCACTCGTACTTTGACTTTCACTCTAGATTTTTCTCCATCTTTCTGTGCAGAAACATTCTGAACTACAAAGCGGCCTAGAGCAAAAAGAAATTATTTTTAGAAATGAATCTAAATCTCTGTAAAGACAGCTGAGAAAAACCCAAATGCTAAGAAATAAAGCTCAAAAGTAAAGTAATGCTTCCAAAACTGGGTGCCTGTCCTCAACCAACTTAAAAGTCCCTTTAGTGGACAGTGTACACTGTAATCCCTACAACATACTTCGGACTCTATTTACAGTTTGTGTGATTATTCTCAGTATGTCATAAAAACCTTCAGTAAGCCTACTCTTATGATTAACACTCCCTGGGCAGACACAGGTAAGAACTGATGAAAAGCAGCCTCTTGCCTCCTCCTACCTCATTTCTCTAGATGGATGAGCATACACCAGACATGAAAATTACCAGCAAGTCTAAGGCAGATGATACCAAGCACATGCTAAATTTTAATCTTATAGTCTTTTAGGAAATACTAGTCTGATTGAATAATCAAAACAGCTTAAGTCATGCTTTAAATAGGGGATATGATCTGAACCATATTCAATCCTGGCTGGGATCTATGCTTCCAAAGAGTCAGTATTTGTAATGAGCACTGATGTAGAACACCAAGTGCTAATGGTTATCTCCATCAGTAGCACTGTTAATCAGAGACCAGTAAATTACAAATATTCTGAGGGCCAGTGAAACGGCTCAGTGGTAAAAGTGCTTACATTGTGTAAGCCTGATGACATGAGTAGAACCCCAGAACCCATGGTGGAAGAAAAGAACCACCTCCTCTCCCGAAAGCTGTCCTCTGACCTCCACAGGTGCACCCACACTCACAAATGCTAAAATTTAAAATACATATATTTGGAACCAATTTGGTAAGCACTATATGAGATATAACAGCCTTTTACTTAAAGTGTCTACAAAACACACGGATGTAAGATTTAATTACTAGGCCAGTGAAAAATGTTATCAAATGACTAATTCAGGAAGCAACTGCCAAATTATCCATTTATAGAAACAGCACTTACTTTTGGATATACCGAAGGCTAACAAGAATGGAATATAAAACCATTCTTCAAGGATGTACAACCAAGGTTTTCACTTTGGGCAAAACATGAAAAATTGCTACTCTTTATAGAGTATAAAGAGCATGGAGTCTATCCTCTAATAGGAAACCAATGTGCAAGATCCAATCTATCAAAATCAATCTATATTCAACCATTTCTCAACTATGTTCCTACCACTAAATTTGTGAAAATTATTTTTTTAAAAACAAGGTGGACCAGAACATTTTAGCCTTCAGTTTACAAAGAAAATACAACTGGTCAGGTTAGACTCCTTCAAGTGATTTCCTTATAAAGTGGCCAGTACTCTAAGTGTACCTACATCCAAACGAGAGAATGATAAAGCAGCCAAAGTAATTAGGTCACTGCATCTCCACAGGTCAGTGTCCACCAATTAAGAAAGATTCTCCACCACCACTGTTCTACACAAAATGTGCTCACACAGAATCATCATCTACGCAACATGGCCAAGAAAAAAACTTTACATTTCTCTACTGAATGATGAACTAGTAAGAGCTTACCTATTTTTGCTTCTGGATATGGGACTCCTTGAGGATCAGAATAGAAAGCTTCTAGTTCAAATGGTCCCCTTCTCAAGAAGGTGAGAACTTTAGAGAAAGGAGCGGCATGGTTTCGACTAAACACTTCATGAACACTAGGGAGGAAAAGAAGATGCTCAATAGATCAAGTCTGTTAAAACAGATGCTCTAAGATCTTTTACTAATTTTACATAACCATTTACAACAACCAAATGAAGTACTTCAATAGGTTTGGCTGTCAAAAATCCCAGATATTAAGCACTCTTAACATAAGAATCATTAAGCATTTATGTATTAAAAATTATCTGAAAGCCACCTGCTATTACATACCCTTCCGTGTCTTCTGAATCATGGTTCCAGACTAGAGATATTGGAAAAGGAACTGCATCTGTGACGGAAAATTCTCTAACTTTAAATGCCGGAGAAAGAATTGCACACTTTAAAAAAGAAAATTTTTAAAGGTTAAAAATACTGTCACAAGCATACAATTATTACTTTCCACACATATCTTACTATGAAAATTCTACTAGATGGGCAGATTTAAACTGAAATTCAGAGTATGTCCAACTTAAGCATACAGATTTGTCATTTTAGTACTATAACACTAACTACAAAAACAATGAATTTTGGGCCAGAGTCTTAGTAACAAGTTTCAAAGACCTAAAACACTGGTTTTTCCAGAAATGCCCTGGGAGAGCCATTTCAATCACAAGCTGTCTTTTGGACGTGTAGCCATGAGAAGTTCCGCTTTATGCCTCTTTCAAATGCCACAAAGAAACTGAAAAGGGAAAAACTCAAAATGTTCCTATTTTTCAATAAACTTTATACATGAAAAGGCAGTGGCACAGGTGGAAGGCCATCTAGACAGGACATTAAAAAAAAATCACTAAACAAATAACTAAAATAAACTGAACAAGAAGGGGGGAAATAGAGAATTCATCTGATTAGTGGTATCCTTCAGAAGGGGACAAAATCAGCCCTTCTTCTATAAAGCATATAAATTTCCAATATTTGGGGGAAAGAATTAAAGAATCACATTCCATTATGAAAGAAAAACAAAAACCTCCCAAATAGAAGGAGAATGACCAGCAAGAGGGTTCAGTACAGGTAACAGATGCCCAAATGTCCTAACCAAATTCACGATTTTGTAGTCAGTGCTAACAACCCAGAAGCATGCTAGGTGATGACAAGACAACAGCTGTGTGCTCTACACAGCCTTCCTTTTCTAAATGTTAAAGGACATTCATTACTCTGAAGATCTTTGTGCACACATTTCACTTCACTGGTAAAAAACAGTCAAACAAGTTTAACTTGAAATTTTAGATAAAATTACTTAGACCTTATTTAACTATAATATCCAAAATATAAATAGTATTTTCTTTCTTACAAGTAACATCTAGATCTTACATGCTTCTGATTCACCCAAAGAACATTATACTTCTGAGCTATGCTATTTGATAAGCAGGTTAAAAATTCATTTGGAAGTGGGGAGGTGTATCTGTTTTCTAAAACCATTTACTGGTAACTAATACTCTTCTTCATTGTAACTGATTATCATTCTTTTCCCTCCTTCATAGCTGAAGGTCACTGTCCCCAAACACAGCTCACCAGTGCTTTACAGATGTTTTCTGTGATCTCAGAACCATGCCTATTTCTAATCCCCAGTTTGAGAAACACCAGCATTTAATCTTCAGATGTGAACATTCTAGTCCCTCTCACAGCCTATGGACTTATTTCAAAGTAATGTCCTTTGGGTATAGAATTAGGCGGAGAGCTCCACCTGTAGTGACCATCAAGACTCCGAAGTGGAAGCTGTGAAGTACCTGCAGTGCACAGCCTCTGGCTACAGCTTCGTCTGCATTCAGTGTGGTGCTGACATCTTTTCCAAAGAATTTGGCCACTCTTTCTTTCACAGCTGGAATTCTTGTTGCACCTCCTACTATCTCTACAGCACTCACATCTTCTATCCTGAGATGAATCTGTTCCATCAATGAATGGAGGGGTACTTCTATTTTTTGCAGGAGTTCCGCACATAGTTCTTCGAATTGTGACCTTAGTAAATGAGAGAGAGGCATTAGAACTTATTAGACAACTTATGGCCAATTGTTCCATTCTTAGGACCACTGTGGAAGACGGGCAAAAAGATTTTGAGAGTCAGGGAGGAGGTGCATGACCATATGGAAACAAGAGTCCTACAAGCTCCTAGGACTATGTTCATATGATTCTATGGCAATGGTGTCAGCATACACAGGTCCCAGGCAGACAGAAACACAGCATAGAACTGGGAAAATGAACAGCAGACCCCAATCTTATTTGAAGAAATATTGGCAAGTGATTGCTGCTAAGTGAAGAAGAGCTGATCTTCCTAAAAACAAGGGGCTCTAGACAGGCTGACTAGACCTCAGTAGATGGACTTGCACCGGGGAATATCTGGGGACAATGACTTGACACAGTGGGCCTTAACAGGGATGACAGAGTATATGGGCTCCAGTGGGGGGCTATGGGAGGATGCTGGGGGAGACGGGGGTATAAATATGATTAAGATTTGTTTGAAGTGTTCTGTATGAAATATACAAAAATTCAATAAAAACAAAAAAAATTATTAAAATTACTTAAAAAAAATTTTTTTTAAGTATGAGTGTTTTGCCTACATAGGCCAGAAGAGGGCCTCATCCAGTCCTTTGGAATTGGAGTTAAGGACAGTTAACCACCATGTGGGTGCTGGGACTTAAACCTGGGTCCTCTGGAAAAACAGCTAGTGCTCTTAACTGCTGAGCTATCTATCCATTTTTTAAAATGAGTTTTACCAACTAAGTATTTCATCCTTTTCTCTCAAAAACCCTAGATCCCACACATGTATGTATAAACAGCAGAAAGAGGATGGGGGAGAAAGAAAAGTTCTGTGAGTAATATAAAAAGTAAGTAATCACGTTTAGGAAAGAAAGTGACCCTGGGAAGTTGTCCTGAGTTCTACACACTCACCTTGGTATATACCCATACATATACTACCCCCATCAACACAAGTAATAAAAAAACCTCTCCACCTTAACTTTTAAAAGTAATAAACAATGGTTATCTACAGTCAAAAGCCATGTAGCATACAATCCTAAAATATAAGTTAAAATTCAATGCCAGGCTACAAGCAACATTAAGGGTTACAGTTTCATGAAGTTTCATTTATTTAATCTGTAGAACTAAAAACATACCTGTTCATCTTTCCAGAGACATCTTTGTCATTCATAAAGCACTCAATATTTAGTGGCAGATCCGTGCTATTAGAACTCATTAGTTTTTTCAATTTTTCACACTCCTGATAGAGACGAAGGAGTGCTCGAATTTTGGATTTTGCATCTAACTTGTACTTGGTTTTAAACTCAGCACAAAAATGTTCAACTAGCTTTTCATCAAAGTTCTTTCCTCCCAAAAAGGGATCGAAAGCTGTTCCCAGAACCTAAGATTAGTCAAAGAAATAAAAGAATAGTTATTTTCAATGGCATTTTTAATTAGAATCTTAGACATTCATACTCAAACAGAAGACTAATAGACTCAAAATCTATATTAAAAATTGCAGTAATATGAAACCCAAGTCAGGGGAAATATTACCTAATGGAGTCCTAGATCTCTTAAGGTGTGTTTGACTTTTAATGGCTGCATTGAGGATAACCTTAAAAATGATGCTTTGAAAAAAAAAAAACCTCAAAGAGAATAAACCATCTCAATCTTAACAATTCCTATCAGTGCCCCTTATCTTAAAGCTCTTCTCCACTAACAAAAACAAGCAGTCTAAAGTGCCAGGTTCAGGTTTCAACAAGACACTTGAAGTTGTGGTCAGGTAGCTCCAATGTGTAATGTTACCTTCAATTTTCCTTTGTTAAAAGCACAGGCAGACACTTGAAAAGCTGAGTGTCCCATATCAACAAATACCACTATCCGAGGCTTCTCATCTGGGTTTGGGAGATCTTGCTTATAAATTCCATAATTCAAAGCAACTGCAAAAGACAACAACAAAAAACAGAAAGAATAAAAAAATGCCTTACAATACCTCGATTCATTTTCTTAGGAATTTTATTATCATATGTAATTGCAGATGCCTTACACATTTTACAAGGAATCAAATTATTTTCTTTTTGACTTATGAGTAATGCTCTATCATTCTTCAGTACATGAAGAGATGTTATTAACCTCACATCACAGTGTTCAGACTATAGAATATTTTTACCACAAGTGGACAGGAGACTGCTCATATACAAGAATTTAACACACCTCTCCAACAACTAGTTTATCTTATTTTCTTTTCATTCTTTTTTTTAGATGAATTAGTGTTATTTTCTAAACTCTAAAATCATTGTATTGCTAAACATTCATACACAACAGCTTTGCAAAAACCTATCAGAAGTACACCGGAAAAGTTTCTCGGCCTAAGCGTAGACCTTTTGCTTCTCTATAATGGTAAAACAGATGCAAGCTCTAGGATATGAGTGCCTGGCTCTTCAGTCCCCAGCACATGCCTGGCAGTGATACATATATCAATATTTGATCACTATTAACTCCTGACTACAGTTCTGAAAATAATACAAAGAATGCTAAATCAATGGTTACAGCCCAGCAGTTATAGAATGCCAACTGTAATATTTTAGGAAAAGATTTCTTAATCATAAAAGCAATTTAAGTAAATGGAAACTCAAATTCAACTCATCTAATTTGAAGAATCAATAAACAAATATAAATTTCTAACAAAAACTCACTGCTACAAATACAAATGTTTCTTACCAGCTGTCATGTCATTCATAAGTCTCAAGCAGTTTAAGCCAACAATCTGTGCAGCATCCAGTACAGACCTCCTCTCAGCATCTGTGAAGAAGGAGGGGACCTACAAAGAAGAATTTTAACTTAAGACACAGAACTCCTTCACAAACCCAATTTTAATTACTGTTCCTAAGGAGGTGCCTGGCCAGGCTCCAAAACAAATAGTTAAGTTCTTTAAAGGAAGGAGAAAAAGAAGAGACAGAGGAAGAAAAGGGGAAAATACCCTAATGACAAGTAATTATTTAACTTTACCAGAGATGAGTACTTCTACAAGCAACAATCATTTCACAGAACACTTTTATCTTAGGAGACTATCAGAGAAAAGTTAGTCTTCTACATCAGCCAATTATATCCTAGGATACAGTGTGATCAGATTCCAACTGTTCTGAGTAGGCCAGACAGCTCACTCCACTGCAGAGAACATGCTGAAGAGAGTGCGCTGCACAATCATAGTACAGTGCAGCCCCCGGAAGACCAGGAAATTACTCCAGTTATTAGGAAAGAACAATTTACAACTACATTTTTTAGCATTCCTACATTTTTGTCTACTTCAAATACTCCTTAGCAATTAGCCCCAGAAGATAAAAGCTAAATTACTAGTACTAAATATCTACTTTTTTTTTTTTTTAAAGTACCAAGCATTGGGTCAATTGAGGGAAGAATTCAAAGCTGTGGAAAGCTCTCTGCTACCAGCTATCTGGTATTACAGCTGTTATACAGAACACAGGTGCTACCCAGAAACGCCACAGGAGATCCTGTTGTAATCTCTAGTCAAGAACCTCTGCAGTTTCTGGCTAAAATTATCATTCGAGCCTACTTTGAAAAGCTCCAGAACATTAATAACTTAGTAAAATCTAGAGCTCTGGTAATAAACCAGCTTGTGCATACAGGCAGTATTCAAGAGGCCGCAGATTAGAATAAAACACATTGCCTTGTTGATTTCTACTTACCGAAATGACACAATCTGTCACTGGTTTCTTGAGATTGTTTTCAGCAGTTTCTTTTAACTTAGTCAGCAACATGGCTGTTATCTGCTCTACGCTAAATAGATGTTCTTCATCCATGTACATTACCTACAATGGGGGAAAGCATTTTAAACACTAACTTAAATACCATTAACACTTTAAAATGCTAAAATGAACTTCAACCATCAGTATATACCCTCCCTCCTCCAACAAAATCTTGTCATTCCTCTGGAAAGAAGAACAGGAACTAGAAAAGGGAGAGGAAAATGGGAAGAACTAGAAGTAAGAAGGGGGTGGGGGGAGCTAGGGTAGAATTCTATTCAAAGTCCTCGTCAAAACAGATGGTAGTGAATTTCCTCTGGAAAGGAATCACTAAAGTACTGTGTTGACCACACACAATACAGTTGGCAGTGAAGATTTCTGGCTATATGATACTACCGCTCTCCCACTCCAGTGAGTGGTTTTAGCACATTTGTTTGAACATTACTTGGAATTTTCTTTAAAAATACCAAAGGAACCTAAATTTTATAATTGCTAGAAAGTTAAAGAAACACAAACAACTTAGCTTATATTTACTACACTTTAAAAGGAGGTTGGGGTAGTGGGGGGGGCATGCACCTCACTCAATTAACTGGAGATAAACATTAAGACACAAGCTCTCTGCTCTAAAGATTAGGTAACAGTCTTCTATTAGAACCCACAGCTATTCGATTACATTACCTTTATTCCAACACCACCATTTTTCATTGGAACCAAATCATAGCTCAAGTTTTCCTTTTCCTTTTGAATGAAGGGGTCATTGAATGCTCGGCCATGGAATCTCTTAAAGTTAGACACTGTATTGTTTGCATGAGTGATTTGCTGCAAAAGAAATTTTAGATTTAAAGTTTTTTTTTCTAAATTTACCACCTACCAGTACCTACAGCAATTTTAGAGACAATCATTTGTACAATTCAAACCAACTCTGGGGTGTATACCTAACTTTCCCTCAGAGGCCTCCATTTTCCATCAATGGGTAGATCTAATTTCTGCTATGGAAAATGCCAGAAGGAAAGGCAATAGTGTCATCACAGACTTTTAGAGTAGATCTCAAAATCTGCAAGATAAAGTAAAAGATAGTGAAACTATCTCTAAAGCTTATCTAAAACTCACAAAATACTGTATTGTTTAATATTCAACTAATGAATGGAGATTTAGAACACTATAGTCAAATTACATTTTTAAGAGTTAATTTTGTGTTGTCCAGTGAACTAGTCAGAATAAGAACTTTATGTCAAAAAAACAGATTGTATCTTTTCCTAGTAACGGCAACTGATTTGTATCAAAATAAGAGATGTAATTTACAAAGTTTCTAAACGACTTTATGTCTTCAACTGTATGTTCTTATTTTTGAGGATCTGAGAGCACAAATTTTATAATCTCTGAACTCATATCATTTTATGTAACCCGGTGTACATGCTTGTTAAAGAAGCACATACTTAACCTGTTGCTGATACTTTAGCAACCTATTTGCAGAAACAGAAAGTTGTATCTCTCAGGTAGAAATGCATGGTCTGTCTTGATCATTCAAAAAGCACACACCTCATTTAAAATAAGAGTAAAAAGATGAAAAGCTATTAACTTCAGAAATTATTTAGGCTTGGAAACACCAAAAGGCTACTACTTTCTCTGATCTTTGAAAGACAGGACTACAGCTGGCCAGTACCAGTAGTTCAAATAGTATAGAAGTATGCTTATACCCTAAAATTCAAAAACAGATGCCTGGCTTCAAACTGGTTCGCATCACATAACTACCAACAGGCTACAGAAATTTAGGGTTTGCTATGAATATCTGAACCAAGCTCACAGGGCTGTTACTCCACTCTGTCCCCCTCTGCTTTTGAGTCAGCCATTTTGAACAGATCTACTATTTTTATTTTCTCTCTCATCATCTACCTCTTTCAAGCCCAAATACCCAAAATATATTTCCAGGGTTTAATTTCTTTCTTTTAGCAGTATTTTCTGTTTAGAAGTTTTTCATTCTCTTTTTAAAAGATACGGCATTTTTAAAATTTTTTCTCCCTAAACTCACAAAGCATTCAGATCAGTATTATTCAAAGGAAATGTAATAAACCATGTAATCTCCATGCAAACTTTCCAGTTCTATATGAAAAAGATTAAAAAAAAAAAAAAAAAAGAAGATATTTGATAATTTAGTTCAAGTTTTAAAAGAAGATACTTGATACATTAGTTCAAGTCTTCAAAAAAATCTTAGTGCATTTTATGCCTACTTGCTACATTGATGCCAACCAACTACATTTCAGTCATAGCCACAAGTAGCAACAGGCCTGGATACAAAGTTCTCTCAGTTCCACCTTAATTACTAAGTAACCTGAACAATTTTTTAATTTTATGTGCTTGAGTGTTATGCCTGCATGTATGTAAGTGTACCCATGTCATACAGTGCCCGCTCAGGACAGAAATGGGCATCAGATGCCCTGGAACTGGAGTTTTGGATGGTTGCTAGCCACCATGTGGGTGCTGAGAAGAGAACCCAGGTCTGCAAGAACAGCCAGTGCTCTTAACTGCCAAGCCATCTCTCCAGTCCCAACAACCTGAACAAAGAACCTCTTACAAGTTTCTTCTACAAAAGGTATCTTTAACTCTTCTTTCTGAATCACATTTTATTCATTTGAGGGGTGGTAGGAGTTGGCAGAGGACAACTTGCAGGAGTGTAGCTTCTCTCCCCTACCATGTGCTTCCCAGAGATCTTCCTAGCAGCAGGTGACTACCTGCTGCACCACCTCACCAGCCAGCCCATGAAAACTCTTAAACGGTTATGAGAAAGCGTATGTATTTATTTCAAGTGTCTGTAATTTCAAGAAAAATTTAAAACGGAACATAGCAAAGTTACCAAAAATTAAGGCCATCATTAGAAAGTTAATCTATTTATTCAACAGAAATGAGAAAAATGAACCAAGAAATAATCACGTGAAGGTTAAGAATACCTAACAAATATTTTAAAAATGTTTGTGTGTGTGTGTGTGTGTGTGTGTGTGTGTGAGAGAGAGAGAGAGAGAGAGAGAGAGAGAGAGAGAGAGAACCTGCATGTATGTATGTGCACCAGGTGTGCCTGATGCCTGTGGAAGATATAATAAAGGTATCAGATCCCCTGAAACAGGAGTTACAGAGAGTTGTGAGTCACCATGTGGGAGCTGGGAACTGATTCCAGACCCTCTGCAAGAGCAGCAAGGCTCTTAACCACTAAGTCACCTCTCTAGGCCTAAATTATTTCTAAAACTTAAAAATAGATTAAGGTCAAACACTTAATTCTGGTATGTTTCTGGCATTTTCCTTTAAAACCAAATAAAAATTCTCTTAAAGAACATACCTGATTTTTGGCTGCAACTCCAATTGTTCTATTTTTTGATCCAAATGATATGACTGACCTAGAATATAAAGCAAACTTTTCAGAAATGTGAAAAAGCATTCATGTGGACATTTTTAACTGACGAGGAAAATTCTAATTAAATTTCCTAAAGGTTGTGTGTGTGTGTGAACAAATGTAGCACAATTTTGGATAGCTTTTATCAGACAGTCAAAGGTATGTGTTTGGGGGGGTATTTATATTTAAAATCACTGCTCCTATACTAATCTAAGTGGCAGTCCTAAGACACCCCCCCCCAAAAAAAAACCTGCCTGTAGCTCAGGAGTCATTTTCCAATATCTCTAGAGCTAGTACTGTGTTGCCACCTTACCAAGAACTTGAAAATTAAACAATTCTGAAAGGCTTTGAGTATTTAAAGGGTATTATTAAACCTGGCATTATACACAATTAACAAAAAGTATAGTATAACTCTACCTCTCAGTCACCAACTATACAAACCTAAATGTCACCCTAACACTTATTTTTGTCCTAAAGTCATCTGATTCTTTAGGATTTACAAGTTTGTATGTAAACCTAAGCAAGCAGGTCTACATAATGCCTCTGGAGTTTAAAGAACACAGATGAGGATTCCATCTGGAAGATTCTACTTGAAAAGGTCAAATAAAAACGACTAACAAGTCACTACAGAATGGAATGTAAATGCTAGGGGAATGTAGCGACCAATCAATCAATCGGGTTGCACTAAGCCTGCTCTGACGAGATGAGAAGTGACTTGTATTGAGGGACAATTTTCTCAGCAGTGAAAACAGAATGCATAGTAACCAAATAGAGACAAGATCAAGAAATGTCTTGTGTGGAGGAGGTAGTGATTAAGGTTTTGGATTAGAACAGTAATCTACTGTGCATTACTAATCCAAATCTAATCTAATTTTGGTTCAACTCCTACATAGGTAAATGAGTAAAATGGGCTTCTACTGAGGATATTTAAATTTGCGATAATAGAACTATCTTGGACCTGGATTATCTAAGCAGGTATTAATTAAATAGCACCCTAAAACCCAGGAGATGCTCAATCAAGGCTAGACCAAAAAGGAGAGTTTAAAAAATATATGATGTAAGCTCAGAGCAATTAATTTATCTGCAGGATGGGTCATCTCATTTTCCAAGAAGTCAATCAAATTGTCATTGGACTTAGTAACCAATGAAACTGTAACCATGTAGTTTCGTAAACACAGCAACACCCACAGTCTGCAGTCCTCAGCTGCACATTTTAGCCGCTATATTCATATAACCATTTTCCCACTTTCCTCTTAATAGCTTTACTTTGTTTTTATTGGAGAACAAAGAGAACAAAGATATAGACTGCACCTAGGGAGGAAAGCCCGAAATACTGTCATCTTTCTTGCTGAACTCTAATTACAGAGTCCTTAGCATTGCCAAAGAAGAGCCCACCACGGATCTGCAAAGAGGTAACGAGACGCATGGATCGGTCGCTCGGAGATTAAGTTACTAGCTATGTTTGCTTATTTGCAAAATATTCATCTGCACATAAATAAGTGCGTAAGGTCAGTCATTTTACCTTCAGTTTCCTTATCTTAGACTTAGTACACTTAAACAAAATCCCCCAACTACAATCGCCTTGAAAAACAAGCAGTTATTTTTATGACTACCCATGAAGGCGTATTTGCCTGCATAATTGAGAAACTAACCCCCTCAAAAAGTTGATTTTTATCATGGTTCCGTTTGCCCACCCACGGTTCTGTAGAATGTAACATTTAATTCCGAGACAAAATGCATCTTTCTCATGTAATTCTTACACAGTGGCACGCTAGTTACAATAATGTGCAATTTTTACTGCTGATTAGCTAAACGGTGCCAAATAAAAAATGTCTGGAAACTCTCGTGAATGGCTTTTACAATGAGAGAGAGAGAGAAAGAGAAAAGGTCGCTTCCGGCCTTCCAAAAATGATTCAATGATTCGTGGTACTAAAGCCAACAACATTAGTAACCAAGAGATTAGAGAAGAGGTGGTGAATTAATCTTTCACTGCAGTGTTTCTGTGGTCACTAACAACAGTCCGCCCGCTCCCTAGTCAAGCAGCAGTACACAGGCTCTGGAAGCTTCTAGGTCATGTCGAGATTCACCAAGCGGAAGAAAAGGATCGGCAGGCCCGGCTCCGCAGATGGTGGCAGAGGGGGACAACTGGGGGTGGCCCTGCCAGCTCCAAGAAGCCGGATGGGAAACGGGGGCGCCCGGAGGTCTGTTTAGGATCCCTGAACCACTATCTCCCCCACCGCAGGCGGCGATCTCGCGCCCTCCCGGCCCCACACGGAGGGCGCCCGCCGCCAGCCCCGGGACCCCCAGATTCCCACTTACGGGGTGCACCGGTCGCTAAACTCGTTGGCGATGGTCTCAATGCCCCCGGCCCGGGCCACCGCAATGTAGCAGCTCTGCGAGCCCACGTCCAGCCCCACCACCGACATGGCCGGCTCGGTCCTCCTCCGCCTCGGCTGTGCTGCGCGTACTCCGAACCTGCTGCTCCGCTGCCGCTGGCTGCTCCCGCCGCCCTAACTCCGGGACCGGCGCTCGGCCTGTACGATGCTCCGACTCGCCGGGTGATCCCGCGAGAACAGCGCTGGGGCTCCGCGGCCGCTCGCTCCCACACTGCCGCCGGCGCTCAGCTACCGACCCAAAAGGGGAGGTCCCAAAGCCTCAGCTTTATGTAGCTCACTGATCAGAACTTTCCAGAATCTGCGGCATTTACTCACCGGCGCCTCCACGTGCCACTTCCGCTTCCTCCTTCTCGAGCCTTCTCGAAAGATTCCGCCCAATGGATGGTGGGTTGTCCCGGGGGACGGCCTCCGTTGCCATGGTGGCAGGACGGCCGCTCCGGTACCATTGGCTGGAGCAGGCCGAGCTGATCCGCCTCCGTCTCGCCGCCCCGCCCTGGACTGTTTGCTCTCCTAATGACACAGGCAATGAAGGAGTCAGAGACTCCTGGTCCCCGCGATTTGACATCCAGCGTTGGTGTCGGGCCCTCAGACTCTGAAGAACGGCTGAACTGTCACAGAAAGCCCCCACCCCGACCCCCAGACGCCCACCAGCTGTCAGAGGAGCATGCCGGGTAGTGTAGTCTGGCTGGGCGACCCGGCGTCTTGCATGCTGGGAAGCGTAGTTCAGTGGGAAGACGTGGGCGCCTTGCGTGCCGGGGTATGTAGTCTGGGTCGCAGTGCCTGCTGGGAACCGGCTTTGTCCTGTAGTCTTGGGGCGGAGGCCCAGCGAGTTCCAGTGCATTCGCGGGCCTTCTTTGGGCACCAGCTCCCGTTTGTTTGTTGTTAGTTCGTTCGTTCTTGTCCATATTATTTCAGCAACTGATGGATTCCAGTGTACCAGGAACGTCAGTTGAATCCGCATATGAAAAGCTCGGTTTGTGTTGTTTTGTATTCATTTCCCAGCAAGATTCTTGTAAAATAAAATGTCAGAGGTTTATTTTAAATTTTAAAATGAAAGCAGCTTTTGGTTGCTATATAGGCTGTTGGTAATGTCACTTTTTGCTTACTTTCGATACTAGTTTAAGCAGACATCGTTCCACCCTGCCACTCCTAATCATAAATATAAATTCATGTATGGTTTATTTCTTGTTTGGTCTGCACTCCCCGCCTCCCTCCTTCGGAAAGTCATTGCCCCCTTAACTTTCACTGAAGAGATACAGAGAAAGAAACATGTGCTGCTCCTGTTTTCAACTATTATATACCTTTTTAAATTTGCCTGAGAGTTCGTGTTTACTTTAGCCTGGGCACTTGGAAATAAGCACAGTTCAAATACGTGCTGCTAAATAAGTGTGTAACTGAATAAGGAATTGGGAACCCAAGTTAGAAAACTAACTCATGGAGAGTATAGCAGTTCCTCTTCAGCAAGACAGCTATGTTACATCAGGCTTATATTACATGTAAAGTTAGTTGTTTATAGGACTCGATGTCTGCTTGCCTTGCCACTTTAGCCTGCTCTCCTAGCTATTATATAAGAATAGTAGCTAGCTCAGGGTGGTTGCATTTTGAAATACGGTTTGTTGTAATTATTTTTGCTAATGCATCGCCAATACTACGAAAGACCCCAACTTTTTTTATACATGAAAACTTTTATTAAAATCCATAAAATCCCAGCAGTTTTGATCAGAAAGGACCTTTGAGATTATTTGGTCGAGTTCCCACACTTTATGCATGGACACTGCAAAGGAACGTGGAACTAGACAAATTTGGGTCACGTTCAAATCTTGGCACTCACTGCTGAGATGCATTATATAAAGAACAGCACCTGCTTTCCTGGATTTGGACTTCATGGGCTTGAATTCTGGCTGTCCTTATTAATTGTGAGCTATGTGACCTTGTAATTACTAAGTAAGCCTTTCCTGTGTACACTCTCCCAGGGTTTTGTCACGATCAAAAATATCCCCAAAGCACTCAACATATAATTACTGTGCAATTTGCCTAATGTCTGTAATCCTGGGAAAACCTGTAAAATGGAACTAATACCTATTGTTGCTGGCATATTGGGTTTGATATACATGTAATATCTAATGTGGAAATGAGTATTCAGTAAATTATAGTAAGAAATTTGTTCAAGAAAAATTTAGTGCCAAAACTTCTATCAACTTCTATTGCTTGTGATGCTGAGTAGTACAGTCATGTTGTAGCTTCCTTTTATTTAGCCAGTTCACTTTATTTACAGAATGAGTAACTCATGAGAGACCATACATACCTTATTCATTATCTAAACGGTTGTCAATTTTGTTAGCTTTATTACATTTTATTTATTATATGTTTATTACTTTTTATTATGTAATTTCCCGCAGTATCTTTTCAGTGTTAGAAATTTTAGATAGAAGCTTAGATCAGGTTAAAAACAATCCTGTAAACCTTGGTTGTTGTATAAGTATGGATGAGAGGTAAGCATAGAATAAAAATACATTTATTAGGGACTGGAGAGATGGGTCAGAGGTTAAGAGTACAGACTGCTCTTGCAGAGGACCAGGGTTCGAATCCCAGCACCCACGTGTCAGCTAACAACTGTCTGTAACTCCAGTTCCAGGGGGTCTGATGCCTTCTGACCTCTGGGGAGTTGTATGACAGAAGTGCACTTACACCTATGCAGGCAATACACTCATACACATAAAATAAAAAATAATAAAAATTTTTCAAAATGCATTTATCCTGTCTGCCAGCAGTCACCATTGCAGTCCCTGTGTCTTATTTCATGTTTTCTTTGGAGCACAAGAAAGTCCTCAAAAGTAGAAGTAGAGACAGCTTCTACAGAACAATAAAATACAATGTATAACAAAAGAAAAGCCTGAAGGTGGCATTCAAAGGGATTCTCCACAATAGACATAAAATGCTGTGACTAGCTTCCTTGAAAGAAAGAAGTGGGCAGAGGTATGGGTAAACAGGAAAGTGTTCATGACCTTCGACTTTTGGATGAGTCAGCCTTTGGTGCCCTGTGAATTCAGCACAGTAGCGAGTGCTGGAGGGTTACAGAGGGCCATAACACTTGTTCTAAATAAACACGTTTGGTATGGCTCCTATATGTCAGTGCTCAAATATCTGAAGTTAATGATATTTGTGTTTCCTCATATATTTAAACTTGTCTTTAAAAGTTAATTGGTTCTCCTGAAACCCATTTTTTGTCCTTTATATGAGAATGAGCATCTAAAAATAGGAATGAATGGGAAAGTTGTTTCTGGAGCAGAGCCTTATGAAAAGGTAGGCATGAAATTGAGGGGCTTTAATCATCTTTAACAATGAAGATATGGGAATAGTGTATCAAATATTTTTCTTCTAATTTGTGAAAGGATTATTGTCTTTCATAAGAAAAACTCAGTGTATATAGGACTCGAGAGATGGCACAGCAGTTATCAGAGCACTGACTGCTCTTGCAGAGGACACGGGTTCAATTCCCAACACCTACATGGTGGCTAACAACCATCTGTAACTCCAGTTCCAGGGGCTCCAAAGCCCTCTTCTGACCTCTGTGGACATTGCATGACACCAGTGCCCCTACCTACATGCAGGCAATACACTCATACACATTAAAATAAAAATAATAAATGAAAATTTAAAAAATGAAATTCAGTATATGAGAAACTGCCTGTGCCTGCCTCTATAGACACTTCAAACCACTCTCCCACCACAAATTAGCCTCTTCCCCAGAACAAGGTGGTTTTAGTTGTGTTTGTTCCCCTGCTTGGAAAGCCTTTCTTTGGTCTCCTGACGAGGCCTGATCCTTTATATTCTTCAAGACTAGGTTTAAATCCCACCACCCTTGGAAGAAGCTTGAGTGCCCAACTGGAAAGCATATTTCCCTTCCCAAAGACACACCAGTTTTGGTTCCTTTAAGAGAGGCTGATGCCAGCCCCAGTGTGAAGAGTGCTCACTTTGGCCAATCATTGGTTAAGGGATAGCATTTGATCCAGGCAGCCCCATCAGTCAGGGTAGCTCTTGGGACTGTAACTTAGCTCGGGTTTGAAAGTTACCTCTTCCTCCATTTCCTTTTCCTTCATTCTCCATCTCCATGTCCTAATCTCTGTTGTAGGAATTTTGAGGTCTAAAATTACAATAACCTTAACTGTCATCTGGGAAAGGAGAATGATCACCACAAATAGAAGAAAAAACAGCTGGAGCCAAGAGTTCAGTCTCAAGATCTGCCCTACCTCTGGATAAGTTTGGTGAACTATTATTTCCTAATTGTGTAAGTCAGCTTGAATTGTGGTTTCTGTTACTTGCTCCCCAGTTGTAGATAGCTTCCTTTAGAAAGTATTCTTTCAGAATCTTTTAAAAAATAATTTATGTATTTTTAACTGTTTTATGTGTTTATGTGTTTATGCTTTTACTGGTGGAGGCCAGAAGAGGGTGTCAGATCCTCTGGGGTGGAGTGACAGGTGGTTGTGAGTTGTCCAGTGTGGGTACTGGGAACTGAAATCTGGTCCTTGGGAAGAGCAGCAAGTACTCTCAACTGCTGCACCAGCTCTCTAGCCCCTTCCTGAACATCTTACCTAAAGTACTTCCCAGTTATTGTCTATGGTTACTTATTTACTTCACACATATGTGCCACAGTCTGCAATGATCTTGGGGGTGTGTGCATGTACATGCCTGTTTTGCTTCTCTCTGATTATATGGTTCAGAAGTTCAGTGACATGTTTTTCTTATTTCCAGTGCTCTGTATATGCTTGAAAATTATCGATTGAATGATTGAATGGCAAAACTATATCATGAGGTTACTATGAAAAGGGATATTTATCAGCTTTCCTCTAATACAAGTTTATCAACCTTGTCCCTGTTGACATCCTGGGCTGGATAATACTTTATTGCGTATGTTATAAGTTTTATTTTATCCCAACTCATTGTCCACAGGAAGTCAGTAGCAGTGCCCTGCTGTCTTCCGCCTCAATTGCAACAAACAGAAATGTCCCCAAATGCACAAAATTGATTCTGGCTGAGGGCTTTTGCTCTCAATCTAGAAGATTTACTTAAGCATAATTGGTACAAAATCGTGTAGTCTCAGAATGTATTTGTAGAGAGGAAGAAAGCTGTTTGCTTTCTGAACCACAGAGGCCAAGATGAGGTGGTACCCCAGCCCTGAGTGAACCAAACAGCTTCAGCATGAACAGATGCCATGTAATAGCTCTCCCGTCATGTCTCC